CCATTCACTAGGAAATTAGGAAGCTTCATGGTGTTTAAGGGATCAAATCCCCAACAGCCACATAATTAAAGGATTGCTATGATACTGTATCATGTGAAAGTTTTATAATGTCGATAGATGCAAAGATTTTGTTGAGATGTAAGTTATATATATAATTTTTTAATTATATTATTAAGCGGAACGGGTGTGGAGACGGGTATGGGGACGGGGACGAGGGCGGGACAGGAAAACCCAAACCGTAAACCCGCCCCTAATTTTATCATTCAGGAAAAAATCAAACCCGACAAACACATATTTTTCCCGTCAGGGCGGGTTCGGGCGGGTACCCACGTAGGCGAGTTAAATTGTGATGCCTGGTCTCAACGTATTTTCAAACACATTATACATATCTTCCGCTAACTCTTGAACCCATTGCTTCCTCATCAAGGACAGGTGTACCAACAATTCAATTTCAAGTTGTAGATGAAAATCATAATTGATTTTAAAATTGAAATTACAATGTCCATGATTTGATTGCAAAGAGTGATTGAACTCTTCTTGAGTTGAGACAACCAGCTGAAAGTTGATATAAATTAACCTTTGATCTGAACCATTTGATTGTGTCTAAATCATACAATTGTTGGAATTATAGAAAATCATTTTGTTCTGAATTTGATTATTTATCTACCCTCTTTTAACTATGATAGAAATTTAACGTAATAATACATTTTACTCTCGATTATCCTTCGAGATTGGGTGTCCCAACTCCCAAGACACACTGAGAGTAGCCCTCTGATTTACCTTGAGGATTGGCTGCATCATTTTGTGTATTATGTCACATCCTCACTTCTGTAGCTTGTAGAGACTACTAAAATTTTAGCAATTGTTGAAGTAATTAAAAACCTAATAATCTAAGGAATTTAGGAATGTTTTCAAATAGTAGAAAGAATAATAGGGAAGTTAGAAATTTTACTAATTAGGATTTTAGGTATTTCATTATTGTTGGAATTTGGTTCGTCCCTTGTCTAATTATAGTAGTTATCCAAATTCTACCACCTATCTTATTTTGATTCATTAAAAATTTAAGTCACTTGGTTAAATACTATCAGCCCACTGATTGGTTTACTCTATTTTTTATTGCCCCTCTCCCAGCCCAATCAACTATGACTTTTAGGCATGTAGACTGCCACTACAATTAAAAAATAAGAGCAGTGGTTAAGCAGTTTGAAATTGAATTTTAAGAGAGAGTAAAAGCAAGGATATTTTGAGTTTGAAATTGAATTTTAAGAGAGAGTAAAAGCAAGGATATTCTGAGTTTGAAATTATATTTCGGCCTCCTTATTAAATAAAAAAGGTGAAAGTATTGTTACCGAATCTCACCAACACTCGCGCAGTCATCTATCTATTTTTAGTTAGAATTCGTTAAAATTACACCATAAGTACAATTTAAAATAATTCAAGTTATAACTTATTAGCCTCTTTCAACTAAAATACATAAATAAATGTTAGCAAATACATAGAGAGAGATAAAAAATAAATATTCAAAATATTATTTACTGCATGTAAATATCTCTTTCAACAATGATTCCAATCTATAAAAAAAAAGTGCAAAAATAAAATAAATATCAATAAATGTAATAAATAAATAAAAAAAGATATTGGAAGAAAAATATGGTAAAAAAAAGGTGAAAGTAAAAAATATAATTTAGAAATTAAGAATAATTGCTCATGAATCCAAAACCAGAGGAGATACGTTCAAAAAGAGCCATTCCATCCCACGATCATCGGGGAGGCACTTGTATTCCCATACAAGTACTTCGGAGCAACACCTGATGGAAAATCCCGTTACAGATTAGTACAAAGCATATAAAATTACGCTAAATCCATGTGTCAGTATTAAGACTGCATGTGAAGCTCCAATTTGAAACTTGTGTCTTCATGTGTTGGTTTTCCTAACTCCTAAGCAATGGCCAGCTGAAGATCAACATGTTTGTAACTTGTAAGAGACAATTCTAACTGTTAGCAGGGACCTCCTCAACACATTTCTTTTTACTTGCAGTTACATCATCATCTTGTTCATGTACTTCCTCTACTGTCTCTTCTGCATTTCCTTCTGAATCGGATTGGCATCTTTTCCGTTGAGGGATAACAGCAAAGAAAGACTTTTTCCAATCCCTTGTCTCTAAAAACTTGAGTAATATTTCCACCACTTGATTCACAGTAAGTACCTGAAGAGTGAAGGCCCATATGAGAAATATGATGAGTTATCATACCATAAGGAAATCGGCATGCTCTAAGTGGAAGACTATAGTGTTGTCACTTGACAGATATTAGAAGACTCTGAAGGGTAAGACAGCCCACCCAAAGAAACAAGTTCTCTATTAGCATGAAACTTATCAGATTGAAACCTTAGAACACCTTCACCCAATGTACAACGCAAAACCACCAAAATCTGACATATTCTCTGTTTGTTTCAGTTGAGAAAAAAAAAACGAAGGAAAGAAAGAAAATTTTGAAATTTAAATTGAAATAAAAGAAATTTGAAATTTTTTATTTCAAAAAATCAACTTTCCTCTCTTATGCATTGTTACCTGTATTTTCTCTCATCTAAACAGACCATTACATACAACAAGAACAACTCAAAAGTGAAGGAAAAACAAAGTGCAATGCCACAAGATGTGTAATGATTCTAATTTTAGAAATGCCCCTTCTATGTAGTATGTGCTTAACATAGAGGCAAAATCAAATGTTACATTCAATTTGAGAGATCAAAAATCTCCTATATAATTTAGTTAGTACTCAAAACTTCAACATGCTAACAAGTTTACTCTACCAAGTAATTAACTTGTACACATTTTTCACCCCCAAAGACTTATTTTACAGAACAAAAACTTTAAAAAACTAAACCAACACAAAAACTCGTTCTCGAGACAAAATTGTATATTTAGGACCTGTCTGCATAAATTTCTCCATAAACATTTTTAAGAGAAAAAAAAAAATGAAAATTTTTTTTCCATAAACTAAAATTATGAATTTATGCATAAATTAATCTGTTGAATTACAAAACTTAACTTTTAACTAAACATAAGCTAATTTAAGCTTATGGAAAATCTTATTACATTTTTTCGTTTTTATCTTCTCCTAGAGTTGTTTAATTGATAAATTTATACAAACATGATCTTGATACAAGATGACGAATACTATACCTGAGAGCTAGACATCTTCATGAAGTTTCCAATGGGAAGTTTAGCCGTTTGGATTCCTTGCTCTTGTGCTTTCTTCAACGTTATCCCCTTCCACCGGTTCCTATCGACCAACCCACCAATAACATAAACCTTCTTCAAATCAAGCTCCTCAAGCACAGTCTCCGAATCCGCAGTGAGATAAACCAAATCCTCCTTCCGATCACTCAAGGCCTCAATGTAAGACCTATTGTCCTTCTCAATTATCCACTTCTCAAACCCCGGAATCCGCTTCAACGCGCTCTCCATTTCCCCCTCGCAGCCAGTGAGCCAAAGGTGCGCAGGGGAAACGCACCTTCCATTCACAGCGTAACAATACATAATCTGCAGATCCAATCAAAACGGTTCCATTATTCACTATTAGTAACGGAATCACGTAATTAAGCTTAGTAAAGAACCTGCTGAA